AAGTAAACACAGAACCTAAATATTTTACTGAGCATGGCAAAAGGCATTTTGTGGTCATAATTAAGGAACCTGAAGTGTGAATATTATCTGGGATCATTGGCTTCAGCTCAGGACCAACACTAAGGTTTATAAAACTCATGCATGAAGAATCAGTCAGGAAAAGCAAGGGCAAGGATGAGAGAATCACAGATCTGGTGAGGAGCTTTGAAGCAGAGGAAGAAGCCTGGAGCAAGGAATACTCTCCACCACTGGACACGGGAATCATTCTCCCCTGAAGGCCCCGCCAGCGATGTTGTGCCTCCAATGACTCCGTTTTGAACTTCTGACAGCAAACACCATAAAGCTACATTTTTTTTAAATGCTGCTGGGTTTGAAGTAGTTGGTTACCATAGCAGTGCTAATGGGGAAGTTAGAGCAGAGTATTTTTATGGAGGGAAAGCTAGTCTAGAAAACAGCACAAAGATAGCTGTATTTAATACAAAAATGCATGGCAAAAGAAATATTTCATTTGATGATATTTGTTTGTCTCTCTCTTTCAACTTACCACTCCGTCGGAGACTGATGCTCTTGCACACATCAAGGAAGGTTGGGTCTCTGCTGAGCGCCGTCATGCTGGTTCATGGACTGTGGTCCTTGCTGAGTCACCAGTGGGTGTACGGAAGCAGGCTCTCTGTTGGATGACTGCACTATTCACACAGGCTTAGGACTTTTGCTTCAGGACGCATTGGCGTGTCAGATGACCCATTTGCTACTACTGTGATTTGGGGGGTTGAGCTCTCACTCTGTAAATTTTTGGTGGACATAAATATTTAATCCAACATAAATAACTAACCTTGAATTTAAGAAAATATCATACATAATTCTTGCTCATAGTTATTGCATACAGGTGGTGTTTTGATTCATCCATATATCGTGTGATGTTCAGTCAGGGCAAATCAATCATCTCAAGCATTTAACATTTTTTAAGGCAAAAATCTCCAAAATACAATCTTCTAGATTTTTAAAAATTTCATACAGATTATCATGTATAACCCCCGTCTATATTCCTATAGAACAGCGATCTTTGTGTATTTACTTGTTAAACATTATGGATAATTTTATATTAAGTCTACCTACTACTCATTAATCAACATTTTGCAATCCCTCCTCATCCCTTGATAAGCAAAATTAGACTTTTATATTTCTATGATATCCTTGAAATGTATTTTGATGATGCATGTGAAAGTGCCAGTTCAATGTAAAAACTATGACTTAGATTGAAGGGCTTTGGAAAGACCCCTGAGAGTGTTTGTCTCTGAGACATTTCCATAAGAATGAAAAGGAGCAGCGGGTGCCAGGTGTTAGATTATATTGGACACCTTAGAGCAAGGAATGCCTGCTTTTCCCACAAGCTACGCATGTTTATAAGTTGTTAAAAAAAAAAATCCCAAGCAAGGTGGGTGTGCTGTGATCCCTGAAAATGCCACATTTACAATTTGAAAGTAAGTCAGTGCACAGGCTGCTTCCCTTTTGTAGCTTCACTTGTTGGAGGTTGTGCCAGAGCTGTGATCCCGTGCTTTCCAGGCTCCCTGTTGGGGCTAACGGTGTGGACAATATATGGTCTCCGACTCTATGGGCTTGCAAACGCTAGAGAGAAGTGGCTTTGTTCTTTGCAAGGATGACCTTGATAGTTATATCTAGTGATTACAGAAAGTATTGCTAATAGAGAAGCCAGTAATGAGAAAATAAATAAAATTTGATCACAAGCCATTTTTAAGAATTCTATCCATCGTAATATCTTTCTGAAAAACCTTTATATATATTACTTTATGTATAATATAGCATGCATTATATATGGTATGTGCATATGTATTATGTATCGTTTATTTATGTTTGTTTTTAATTCCATGTATTTCTGCCCAGAGTTTTCTTCTGCTATTTACCATTTTTTAAGCTTTATTTATTTTTATTGCAAGTCAGATATACAAGAGGAGGTGAGACACAGAGATCTTCCATCTACTGACTCAACCCCCAAGTGGCCACAGTGGCTGGAGCTGAGCCTATCTGAAGTCAGGAGCCAGGAACTTCTTCCTGTTCTCCTACAGTGTTGCAGAGTCCCAAAGCTTTGGGCTTTCCTCAGCTGCTTTCCAAGGCTACAAGCAGGGAGCTGGATGGGAAGCAAGGCTGCTGGGATTAGAACTGGTGCCCATATGGTATCCCTGAATGTGCAAGGCGAGGACTTAGCTGCTAAGCTACAATGCTGTATTTCTCAACTGCATTGTTTTGTTTCTGTCTGTCAGTTTCAGGTTGTTTATCTTTGGCTTCTTTTGATATGATCTAAAAATGACTTGCATAGCAATTCCTTTTGTCTGTTCTCTTGATTCATTGGCTTTCATTATAAGCTTTCATTGCTCCATTTGGATAACAGCTTCTTGACGTTCAATTCTCATGCATAGTGTCATGTTTCTTAATGACTATAGCATCCATATATCTAAAACTCATGCTGTTGCTTTTTGGACATATTTAGAAAAAAAAGAAGTTACTGCGGAGCGATTGCATTCGGCAAGTTTTAAACTATTATTTTTTCAGTGAGACAAATTTTAATTTAAATCAGAAGTATCTGATATCCCTCCTAGTAATGTTGAAAAGCTGAACAAATATTTTAAAGGCTATTGTGGTTTTGCGTTAATTTAAAAACTGATATCAAATAGAAGTTTTAACGTGCCATGCACAGTCATGTAATATTACAATAAGAAATTTCTCTGTTATTTATTCCCTATAAAAAACAACATAAGAACATACTGAAAAGGCCCTTATCCAAATCATTTGTGAGTAGATAAGTAAGACTTTGCTTTATTCTTAGCAATTTCCAAATCAAACGTTCAATTTCATCTACAGTCTCAAGGGAATTTTAACAACTCAGTCTGGGTTCTTCAAAGAGAATTTGAATCATTACCTGAAGATATTTTGAAAACTACATTTGCCCTGCATTATGCTTGATCCACCAAGTCAAAATTCCATAGAAAGGCGCCACATCTCCTTAGCTGTGAATTTCAACGCTGGTGGAGAATCACTGTGCTGGACTTGGTGTTAGGTAGCAAACAATAATACAACCTCACAAAATCCACTTCGTTGTTATAGTCTGTATGGCAGCACTTTTACATGAAACATCAGACAGGATCAAGCTTTTTTCTCTTCTGTAACTGTTTTATAAATTTTTGTGCTCAAGAGAAAACAATGTACCTAAGTGTCTGACCTTCCGTATCTGCTTGCCTAGCAATCAGGTTTCCCTAGATTGAAGGTAGAATTCACTGTGAAATTTTGTGGGCTGAATGTCTATGATGTAATTTTTTTTCTAATTGATCAATAACTTATTGAGCATCTTGCATAGACAAAAAATAAAGTGTAAGTACTGGGAGTAATAGAAAAAAAAATGGAACAGCCTGGGTTTGTAAATAAGGACAAAAGAATATGTGAAATAAATATTGCATTGAGTACACAGAAGATAACCCAAGCATATTTAGTTTGGATATTACAAAGTCGTAACTTAAACCATTTAAACATATCTTCATCTCATGTTAACCATTATGAGCATGCACCGTTTTTTCCTAATGTTTATATGTAAGCACACACATACATATAGTACAACCCCCACATGCACATTTACATCTTAAATATATTTGCTTATAAATATATATGGTATTCAAACATTTGTTAAATACACAATATGGAAAAAGTCACATGTCATTCACAACTAATTTGCACCCAAATAAACTTTAAATTTCGTTTTTATGAGCTTTTTCAACTTCTGCCATATTTGTGTCTTAATACATTTGATATTTATATATTGTAAATATATAATACTTATAGCATAAGTTATGTATGGCATGTGCATGTCTGCACTGTTTTGTGTATACTACACCACATTAATTTATTTCTTCCAATCAGTCTCAGATTGATTATGGAATGATTTGAAACTCTGCATATCCCTCTATGTGCTCACAGACATATAGAGATAATAAATGCATTTGAGTTACAGTTGTCAAGCTGATGTTTTAACTCACTTTCCTTAATTTGTTGGAATAAGTACTGATAACTAAGTGACATATGCATTATGGTTATCAATGTGTCAGTCATTTTTTCTAATATTTCAATAGGTTTTGCTTTATATCATTGCTTTTTTATCCATTGCAGAAGGTTAAGTGTGGTACCATCACAAGCAGCTTTTGTATGTTTGTAGGAAGGGATGTTTTTCGTTGGTGGTGCTGCATTGGTTCCACATTTAACGGCCTTTCTGACTTTTGTACTGGTTTCCATATGGTTTGACTTGGTCTTGATTTTTGTAGAATGTTTTGGCATGTTAATTCTCTTGGAAAACCAGGTACAAAATAAAGATTCTGGAACACAATAATCAACCATCTGATACGAAAGAGAGAGGGAGAGTCCTGGAGGAAAAGAGGAGTGATGATGAGGGCTTCATTGCCGTGAACCGGCTGTTTTCAGCTGGTTTTCTCAGCAGGCCACTCCCCCTCCGCCACCAGCTCAGGATTCTCAAGTAATTCCCAAACCACTGACCTGTTCAATGTCACATGCACTGGAAACACTGGAAAGCAGTGGGAAGCTGTGGCTTGCTTCCATTATTATTTTTAATCTCTCCTGGTAGTGCAGTTAAATTATCAAAGAATCAAAGAATTACTGATAGCTCTCTTAGAAGAGTTTTTTTTTTTTAATATGATAAATTGGCTTTTGGCTTTAAGTAACAATCTAAAGACCTGCATTTGCCTATGTACTGTACGGCAGCTGAGTGGATTAAGTTAGGTCAAAAGCACTTACATTGTTTATGAGAAATATCAAGGCTTCTCTCTGGCATGTTTCTCTCTGGCATGTTTCGTTATGTTTATTTCAGTGGTGTCTTTCCATGACAGAGCCATTTCTACCCTGTGATCTATGATGAGTGAGAAGACTCGGCTTTGCTCATTGTCTAATTGGTAATTCAATTTTCTTAATAACCTTCTTTACAGGAACTGGATTTTGAAGCCAAAACAAGTTACACTCTACGCATAGAAGCTGCAAATAAAGATGCTGATCCTCGCTTTACCGGTTTGGGGCCATTCAGTGACACAACGACCGTCAAGATAATTGTGGAGGATGTGGATGAGCCCCCTGTGTTTTCCGCAGCTTTGTACCCCATGGAGGTGTCCGAAGCTACCCAAGTGGGAAATATCATTGGCACCGTTGCAGCTCATGATCCAGATTCTTCCAACAGCCCCGTGAGGTAAGACTCATAACCTTACTCATTTCTCTTTCAGTTTGCTAGTATTTACCTCCCGCGTGTCTGCCCTGTGACGTATCTCTTTTTGTAGGAAAGAAAACAAATATATATATATATGTATGTATGGAAAAGGAGACAAAAGGGAGGGAGAGAAAGAGATAGAGAGCAAAAAAAGTTAAAGAAGAAAGAAAAGGGGAAAAAGAAGAGAAGGGAAAGGAAGGGGAGGGAGGAAAAGAAAGGACTGATCCATCTACTGGAGTGCCCACAAGAGCATGGACTGAGCCAAATGCTGATGCCAGGAATTTACTAATTCAAAACCATAATGTTCGCCTAAGTCCCTAATTTTATAACTATATTTTTATATGTTCATTGTAATCTTAAAGTCATAGCTAATCATACTATTCAACCAATTGTCCTAAATATTTTCCAAAGTACACTGTGTCCAAAAATGAAATGATCAAGTTGTAGTATTAGGACAAGGGCATATGTGAAAAAATGTACCGATAAGTGCAAATGTGGATTTGCATTAGTATTTCATCGTGATGATTTTAATATTGTTTTGTTTGATACTACTTATGCAGAATTTATTATTTTAGCTTAAAATTGTAAATATCTGCCTTTTTCTCCCTGTTTTTAAACCAAAGCATAACATTGTACGTGTTGTTGGAATGCTATTTGATGTTCCCCTATGTGTGTTCATCCTATGAGGTCTAAATAAGGGAAAAGGAACGTATTTTTCAAATAACTGTAAGCTGTTTGTGGGAAAGGCCTCTTCTCCAGCTTTCCACCATCACAGCATGGTGCTCATGATGTAGTAAGCAACCTCTTTTTGAATATTACATTTTGTAACAGCTTTCAGGACTTAAGTATGCAAAAACCTAACAAAAAATGTGTATGTTTTTTTCTGTTTCTCACATAACTGTCTACTGAAAGCAGTATTTTCTTCCCAGGAAATATGACATAGGTGTTAGGTATACAAATCTAAGTATTCTCCACACATAACCTTAGATGTTTGAAAATCAGGGGGAAGTGTAAAGATCCATTGAATCATGTATGGAATACACTTCCTAAAACAGGGCATCATGCTAACATTTTCAAGAATAATTTCTGAATTTCTGAATGAATGATAGAAGGTAAAGGTAATGAGATTGGATAAGCATTCGGGTGGAGACCCATGGCTTAATCCTTATGGATTTACAATGAAAAAAGGAGACAGAGGGGAAATTTGACACTCCTTGTCTAATGGCATGGGATGCTCTGCACAAACTTGAAACTCTAGCAGAGGTCATCACTAGGTGAATTCACTAGACCTTGCCCCTACCGGACTGTAGGCTGTCTCATGGCTTACAGGATTGTGGCATTATTTAGTGAGCTCTGGGTACCATAACTGGTAAGTGGATACTATACATTAAGATGTGATTGATGGTTATATAGCAGATTAGTTTACGTATTTACTAACACAATCTGGATATTTTTGTTTATGACTAAATCCCTCAGTGATTTGTGAATTTTTTTTTACATAAGGTGATTAGTGATTAAGAATATTTAACAGGTTTGATCAATTGCAGTCTTTGTATACTTTATTACAGCACATCAAAACTACCGATAATAGAGGCAAGTATGTTTGCATTTCGAGAATTAATATTTCATGAGATTCATAAGAGGTTCAAAGCCTTTTCCTTTCAATAATCTGGAAACCTGTTTTACTTTAAACAGACAAGTGTTAAATTATTAAGAGATATTATATTTGAAAACCAAATAATTTTAGTTAGCTTGGTACATGATGAGTAGATCATAATACTTTTCTGCAAACTATCAGTTTTCCCAATATCATTGGTTACAACACACACAAAGGTAAATAGATATGCATATCAGGCCGTCTTTGACTGCCTTCGTAGGACACAAGCAAATAGCTGACTGGGAAGTGGGATTGCCAGGGATGAAAACAGCACCCATTTGGGATCCTGGTGTGTGCAAGGCGAGGATTTAAGCTACCCACTACCAAACCAGGGCCAAAATTCGTTTTTATTATTTTTATTGGAAAGGCAGATATACAGAGAGGAGAGACAAAGATCTTACGTCTGCTGGTTGACTCTGCAAGTGGCCATAAAGACCAAAGCTGAGCCTATCGGAAGCCAAGAGCCAGGAGCTTCTTCCAGGTCTCCAACATGGATACAGGGTCCCAAGGCTTTGGACTATTTCCCTCCCAGGCCACAAGCAGGGAATTGGATGGGAAGTGGAGCAGTATGAACATGAATCAGCACCCATATGGGATTCTGGCACCTACAGGGCAAGGATATTAGCCACTAGGTTATCAAGCCAGGCCCTCAATAAAACAAAAATATGTATAGATTTTACCAAGATTAGAGATTGCAATCTCTGAGAGGTACTTTTAATCAATTAAAAAGACAAACTGCAAAACAAGTTATATGTGTAGTAAAAGTCTGTTTAAATTGTGCAACAACCTCTCAAAACTTCACCCAAGATGAACAAATGGCACAATTAAAATAAGGAGTGTGTTAGCTAAATACAGAAAGTATGGTCAATATCGTTAGACAAATGCCCAATGAAAGTGCTGTGTGGTAAAGTCATAGAGCAGCGAAGTGTGTGATTTTGAAAGGAATGCAAAATGGGAGACTCACGATGGAAATTTTAACAATCTTAAAACATACATTGATGATGTGATGCAACATTCCCACATCTTAGGGGAAATGAAGTATTTCTAAACTAGTAGGTGAATGCCTATTGTATCTCTCTCTGTCAAAACCGGCATAAATCCAAAATTCTTTCACTATGCAAATGTGTAAACTTGCTATCCTATATCCACTTGCTGGTATACTATCTAGCATTACAAAAGAATGGACACAAACATTGGGCAAGTCTTATTCACTACACTGAGTAAAAGAAGTCAGTCCCCAGATGCCTCATTCTGCTGCCTTCCTTTTTGATGACATTCTCCCAAAGTTAAAATACTGGTGAGGGTATTGCTGTTTACATGGGTTTGCCAGGGCCTGGTTATCAGGAAGACTGCACCTGCAGGAGACAGCACATGGGGATCTGACAGAGAAGGAACAGCTCTGCAACCTGATCCACACTGGGACCCTGTTAAAAGACAAAACAAAAATTGCTGAACGTGACCTATTACTCCATTACTCCAGATTTCCTAGCTCAAACCCTGAACCAGGAGGGGACATTGCAAAGATTCTCCAGAAGGTTTTAATTATGCATCCCATTCTGTTCAATCGTGTATTTCACAAAGTACCATGAGCAGCTTCATAAAATTTACCAAGGGTTGCAGTCGCTATTTGTTCTCTATTGATAAAATATATTAAAGCTATTGTCTAATGTCTCATTTTTCTATGTAGAATAATGTAATAAAAATCTAATAACCTTTTTTTCAACCAGTTTCCTATTGGCTCCCAGTGAACTATGTGAGAAATAGAGTATGAGGGGAACAAAGGCATTTTACTCCCCAAATCAGCTCTGAAAATTGCTACAGCTTTCACCTTCTTCTATTTTTGTATTTCTTGCCCTGGAGAAACCAATTTTCAGGCCTGGATGCTACAGAGGCAGCACTGGGGCAAGAGAAGTCCACTTAGCAGGCCACTGAGGCAACAACGCTAGCCAAGCGAATAATTGCTCTGCTGTTGGACCATCTAGACCCCAGCCACTATTCAGATGTAATTTCCTTGCAAATTAAGAGCTAGAAGCGCCTAGCAATACATGCTTTAAAGCAATAAAGAAAAGATATGTTAAGTCTTATTATTGCTGCAGGCCACCAAATGGCAGGTGTTACACTAAGTATCTATAGAGGAGTGATGAAGAGGTGCCATATTACCTGAGCTGGTAAGAGAGAACTGAAGAATCAAGGAATATCAATTGACAGAGGAAAACAATTTGATAAGATCAGCAGAATAGTTCATCAGAATACAGAATTGTGAAAGAAGGAGATATAGACAGTCTAAGAGTCTTAGAGTTTCAAATTAATGCATGTGAGAGCTGAGTGAACAAGGGAATTCTTGTTGAATCTATCACTGAACAGAGGCAGGGGAGCAGAGCACATTATTGAAGGCAAGAAGTTCAGCAACATGGGAGGCCAGTGGGCTTGAAGCACCATCTACATATTTTAATAGTGAGGTTTGCTTGTTTTTCTGTTTGTTTCTATGTCACTCAGCTGGAGTCAAAAAAAAACCTTCAGGGGAGGGGAGTTTTGCACATGGAACAAGTCATACTGAATAAGAATAGAAGTACTACAGAAATGCTGGGATTGCAGACGTGTGTTGACAAAAGCCTTGTGCATGTCAAGGATGCAAACATACATTTCATTCAGAATGGATGTGTAACTGTGACCAGGGTTATTTATTATACATGGATTTTAGTAGCCAATTTGAAGTAATAATTATAATGAATTTAATGTTTCAATGACATTTCACAGAGCATTATAAAAATAACTATATTTTGGTGGTCATTTTGTACTGTATGGAAGAAAAGCATTGAGATTACAAAAACATAGGATATAAATCACACGCTATATAAGAGAAATTTTATATAAGATATATGTTTATCTTATTAATGTGACAGATGATGACATCAGCAGGAAGCTGATGATTAGCAACACAATTAATGAAATAATGTTAATGAGATATGACCAAACAGAAATATTACATATATTTAATTTTTTTCATTTAGGTATTCAATTGACAGAAATACAGACTTAGAGAGATACTTCAATATTGATGCCAACAGTGGAGTTATAACCACAGCCAAGTCTTTGGATCGAGAGACGAATGCTGTTCATAATATTACAGTTCTTGCAATGGAGAGCCGTAAGTAGAAAGGTTTAAAACCAGACTGTTGCGGATAACAGGGTGAGTGCAGGCTATAATGAAGTTTGAAAACAGAATCAGAACTGTAATAATTACATGTTTTAACTGAACAGAAAATTGAAAAATCCCAGATTTTTTAAATGGTTTATTTATTCCCTTAAAAGACAGAGTTTCAGTGAGATAGAAGGAGAGAGATTCCAACTGCTTGCTCACTCCCCAAATGGCGTAATGGCCAGGACTGAGCCATGCCAAAAGCAAGAACCAGAAGTTGTTTCTGGATCTCCCACATGATGGAGGCCTAAGCATTTTAACCATCTTTCTGCTGTTTGTACCAACAAGCTGGATTGAAGTAGAGCATCTAAGGACATGAACCGGTGCTAATATATGATCCTGGCATCATGGCGTTTGGCTCAACCTATACACCGCAATGCTGGCCCACATCTCAAATTTTCGTTTAGCAGTTGTTTTATTTTTATGAGAAACACAGAAAGGCAGAGAGGAAAAGAAAGAGAGAGAAATTGTACCCACTGATTCACAACCCAAAGAGCTGCAGTGGCTGAAGTTTGGACCGTCCTGAAACCAGGAGCCTGCTCCAGGATGTCCATGTAGGTGCAAGGTTCCCCAACTTGGGCAAATCTCAGATGCTTTCCCAGGCCATAAGTAGGGAGCTGGATTGGAAGTATGACATCCAAAACTTTCCCTAGAGTCTATGTGAGATAATGGTACTACAATCAGACTGAAATCAGTGTTAGCCACCACAGAAACCTAGAGTTTTTGAGTCATGAAAAATGTATATTTTCTAGTTTGTTAATTTTCAAGCTTTTTTTTGTATTTTTTTTCATTACTGGTGCTTTCATCAAAATTTCTATTTAAAATTTTATCAAAATTTCTAGCTAAAGTGTTAATTTAGACTTTGAAAGTAACTTAAATTCATGAATATGAAATATCTTTGGAGAACTAATTTTTTGGGTTTTGGCCACATTTATATTGCATTTATGCTGAAATGGACTTGATTAAGCTAATCCCTAATCAAAGCATTCAGATATAAATATTCTGCTATTAAATTTTAGTTTCTAAGAAGAAAATTTTTGGAAAACTAGAAGACACTTATATGCATGTTATATGTATACATACCTATTACTCAATATATGCATATTGCCTGTGTATATATTGCAAGTGTATATTTATGCAAATATGAGCTGTAGTATCAAAAATATTGAAATTCATCATATGTCTTCTAGTTGATATCTCTTATTATGAAAATAATTGAATGCATATTTGTCAAAAAGTTCATGGAAAATGAAACCCCAAAATAGCTTTTAGTGAAAAAAAAAAACTTGAATGACATAGTATGTTTTGCCACTGTGTGCAATATGGTGTCAGGTCATGGGCTTGGTGTTTCACTTCCGATACAACTCCCTGCTTTGTACCGTGGCAGCCTCAAATAATGGCCCAAGTGTTTTTTGCACAATTACCACCCATGCAAATGCCCTGGATGAAGCTCCTGACTTCAACCTAGCCCAGCCCTGTTCATTGCAGTCATTTGGAGAGTGAAGCAACCTCTTTGGTAACTCCAGCTTTTAAAATATATAAGTAAATCTTCAAAACTAGCAGTTTAAATCCATAACACATTTTTCATGAGTACAGTTTTTATCCTTACATGCTATATTCATATATTTAAACATGCATGTTTGCACACAAATTTACACATATACACACACTGTATATGTATATCTGTAGCTTCCTTTGTGGAGTTTACTTGCTATGATTCCGGATTTCATTTGATACTTTGTGGCTTTAGTTTTGTAACTGTGCTTTGGAGGGCCAAACATGTCTCTTGATTCTGTCTCTTGAGTAAAATAGCAGCATGATAATAGTTTTGCTATCGGAGTAATATGTCCTCCTATTCATTAGAGAACCCATCTCAAGTGGGACGAGGCTATGTGGCCATCACCATCCTGGACATCAATGACAACGCCCCCGAGTTTGCCATGGACTATGAGACCACTGTGTGTGAAAATGCTCAGCCGGGACAGGTCAGTGATTGGTGGATCACTCTGCTCTTCCTCCGGGAATTGAAAAAGATCCAGCAGCAGTTGTCTTTGAAATTCTTCCAGCTTTCAGATAAACTATAATCAGATTGTTTCAGCAAAACTAACACTTTGATGTGTAGCGTAAGCTAATATTAAAGGAACTTTCAAAGTCTGGTTTAATTGTGTGATGAAAACTCCACAGAACAAAAGGTAAACACTTTATGTCCTGCTGGAGAGTTGAGGGCCCCATCTCCTGGGAGCATCGAATTCCGGAGGGCTGCTCACTCTTAACACGACAAGGGGTCCACTGTGCCATTCGGAGTCCTGTGATGTTTGCTGGGGTGTCTAATCAATTCGTATGGCTTATTTCTGAGGTTCACAAAAGTAAATGCAAATCTAAAACTTGAAAGGATGCGTTGTTTCAAAGAACCCTCTGTCAGGGTGGGTTCACCTTAGTACCCTGTTTCTTTCTCCCCCACCACAAAGTCTGTGTTTATTACGAAGGGGTCATTCCGTCTTGGCTTTGGAAAAGTTAGGAGCAGCCGCAGCTGTGCCTCCCTCCTGCGTGTGTTCCTTTCCAGGTTATCCAGAAAGTGAGCGCCGTGGACAAGGATGAGCCAGCCAGTGGACACCAGTTTTACTTCAGCTTGATGACAGAGGCAAACAACAACCACAACTTCTCCCTGAAAGATAACAAAGGTAAGGTCTTGTTACTGTCATTGTTGAAGACAGCAGCTACAAACTCGCAATGCAAGGCCCTTTCAGATTATGCATCCTAGTCAAGAACAAGGGCATGAATGAAAGGGCGACGGGCCAACTCAAACAATTTCTACCTGCAGATTCTTGTCATGAAGGAGAATCTGTTATTTAAATCATTTTAGGGCTAAGTCGAACAGGAAAAACTTAGATTTTTTTTTTAGACACTTGTGTCCTTTTTATTTTATCTTAAATAATCTACATTGAGGATCCTTTAATGCCTTAAAAAGCCCATGATACGTAAATACAACTTGGGACACTCAAAACAACATTTAAAATTTCTGCACTTCAACTCAAATCAATTCTTAGCTAATACTTTAAATAATAACACTAGTTATTATTTATTTTTATTAAAAAGAAGAGAATCCATTTAAATCATAATAATATATACATGATACTAAGAATTATAAAATTAAAGGTAATTAATCTATCAAATCAAAATTCTATGCTTTAGAAGTAACCACTCATTTCAGTTTTCCATGTGACACAAACAAAATCTCTTTACATAAAGTCACTTAAAAATACAGACAATTGCAAGACTTTTTTAGGGAACACCAGAGCCTGGCTTGTCTAGTTTTAATTGTATTTATTTGAATAGAGTTTTATTCAAAATACTTCAGCAGACAAGAGTATTTAAAGCTGAAATAATAGGAGAGCACTACTTCCCCAATATGTGACAAGTGTAATTCTTTCATCTAGCCTGATCGTATAAGTTTGATTTCAGGGGATAAATACAGTAATTGATATTCCAGTCAAATACTAGTGTGTCTGCAAAGTCTTGGTTTCAGAAGATGGATATTATGAGGACTTTTGCCTGAGGCCAAAGCCTTCTTCAGTGTAAAAAATTCAGCTTTGGCCTCAAAAATTCAATCTGGAAAAAAACATTATGTTTCTGATTCTGTTCTCCATTTACAACACTATCTTGTCCTTTCCGTAATATAAAAAGGAGAGCGTTTGCTAAGCAGGTAATTCCAGAATCTCTCACTTAATTGCACTGAGGAAAGCATGATTTCCAGCCCTGATTTCATCTAGTACTAGATAGGAAACCTTGCTACTTGCACGAAAATAATGAACATAATGAACCTAATTCCTGCAGTCATCACCCAGCATCACCAGGGTGATTTTGGCAGCACCTGCACCAGGACATCTGAATTTACAGTAAGCTCCTACAACCACACAACCTGAAATTTTCCTACATCAAGTTCAAGAATACAGAGGTAGACAATACACAGAGTGATGATTCTGATACCGCCTTCTGCCTGAAGGGAACAATCCCACATATTATGGATACCGCACATTTTTCTGAATATTGAGTTGTCTTCTCATACGATGGGCATTAACAGCTCCTGAGCCTCAATCCTGCGAGTGTGTGTGTGTGTAAGAGAGAGAGAAAGAGAGAAAGAGAAAGAGAGAGATTGATTTTTATGTCAATCATAGTTGATCATAGGCAATAACTTTGTAAAACATTTTTTTTATCAGATTATAAAAATGCAATTTAAGCTGCTGGTGGCATTAACCTGTGTTGAGTAAGTGTGTGGTCAACCCAACATTGTTCACTAACTCAGCGTAGTTTTTCAATAAACACCTTCTGTATGTACACATTTAAAAATGCATATCTGTGTGTCTGAAACCCCACCACCTGGTCTCTGAGAATCAATCCATTTTAGTTCTGTAACCTTTATAATGATTGTTGATGCATTTTTTGAAGTAGAGTGTGAACTTCCTGTTTTGTGCTGGTTGTGAATGGATGAAATTCAACTAGCTCCTTCATTATAGCATTGTTAATTATTTCACATTAACTCTGACTAAATGTATATTTTTATATCAGAAAGGAAATGTGTAAATTCCCATGGCACCATGTCCAAGATTTTCTTCCTTTCCTTTCCATTTTCATTAATTGCTATGTGTTTTCAAATGTTATGGATAACCGAGTTAGTGAAGACACAAAAATAAATTCTGGTGGGCTAATTATATTATCCATGTTATGTTTTAGAATTAATGAATTCTTTTTAAAAATTCATAATAACTATAATTCCTTAAATGAAAAAGGATATTAATGTAGATTAAACATGAATGGTTTTGTCACTGATAAAATGTTTATATACATGTGCTTTTGATCTCTAGAAATAAGAATATAACATTTAAAACACATATTTATTTAATTATCTGGATTTCAGAGCCATAGACAGAGGACTCCCATCTTCTGTTTGATGCTCTGGAAGTCCATAAGGACAGGGCAGGATCAGGCTGAGGTCAGGAGCTTGGAGCTTCATCAGTGTCTCACTTGTGGGTGTCAATAATGGACAGGGCAGGATGAGGCTCAGTTCAGGAGCTAGGACTTCATCTAGGGCTCACGTGAGAGTGTCACAGACCCAGACACTCGGTCCACCTGCTGCTGGCTTTCCAGGCCATTGTCTAGGGCCTGAACTAGACGTGGAGCAGCCACAACACCAAACCAGCACCCGTAGGAGAATCCAGCATTGCAAGTGGCAGCTTTACTCGCCGACTATAATACTGGCCATTGAATTGTTTTAGATCTGTCTATCTATCTATCTATCTATCTATCTATCTATCTATCTATCTATCATCTATCTATCTACTTATGTAATTGAAAATCTGCATTCCAAAGATTTGAAAATCTGTGTCACAGAGAAAGGAAGAGTAAGAGGAGACATTTTGTCAGTTTACTCTTCAAATGACTATAACAGGGTTAATATGTCTGTCTCAATTTAAATAAAGCAAGAGTATCTTATCTTATATTTTGCTATATGGGGCTTGGAACTTTCTACAGAAAGGTTAGATTGTGAGTTCCATCTGTTCTCTGTGGTGATTTTGTAAAAATAGCCTGTTAATATTTACCCTCATTTCCAGAAACAAATGGCTCAAATTTGAGTCAAATTAGTACACTATATTTAATTTTTACAAATTTGCAATTGTCATAATGACACACAAATATTTTCATATTTAGTTTTACTCTATAGCTTCCTTGGTTATAATTGTAAAGAGTAACATAATTATTTTTAAAATGTGTTAGGAAATATGTCTCTCCTTTGAAATGCATTCAAAGGGAATTTTAAAACAAAAAAGGTCTGTAATTTTATAGCTCTCCCTAATTAAGGAATCCAAGTAAATGGAGTAAGTTAAATAGAGTTTAGAAAATGATTGCTTTGGATATCGTATGTTAAAAATGTGTTTTCTTTGTCCTAGACAACACTGCCTCAATACTAACGAGGCGGAGTGGCTTCCGGAGACAGGAGCAGTCTGTCTATTATCTGCCCATTTTCATTGTGGACAGTGGGTCTCCTTCACTCAGCAGCACCAATACCCTCACCATCCGGGTCTGTGACTGCGATGCGGATGGCATCGCTCAGACCTGTAATGCAGAGGCCTACATCTTACCTGCCGGTCTCAGTACAGGCGCCCTGATCGCAATACTTGCCTGTGTCTTAACATTATTGGGTAAGTCGTATTTCCAGTGTTGGGTCTCAAAGGGCAATTGCAACAAGTGCCTTCCATGATTTGCTTGTTCTCATCTCCATTCTGTCAGACTGTCCTTTCTGGGGGCAGGAGTTGTTACACAGGATGCCAAGTGAGGCTCTGAGGGGAAATCCTGCTGCCCACGTCTGATCAAGCTGCTGGCTCACGCACTGGGGAGGTGCCGGAAGATGGCCCCTGCCACATGTGGGGAACATGATGGAGTCTGGGATTCCTGCCTTCATCTGGCCCGGCACTAGCTGTTTGAGACGATTTGGGATGTGAACCAGGGGATGGAAAAAACCTTTCTGTGTGTGTGTCACTCTATTGTCAGATAAATAAAGAGATAAATGTTTTAAAATATCTTCTGGAGAACATTGGCAAGTATTCTGCTGGTTAGTGATTTCATAAGAAACATTAAGATTTTTGCCATAATTTTCAGGGGACCAGTAAGGTGTAACCCAGAAAAAAAAAACGGAAATTCATTCATTTAAATGAGTGACTAACAAATAGCTTATACTCAATAATAATTAATGTTCTTTTAAAATATTTTCTAACCTTTCCACATCCCAGCTCTTCACTTTCTAGTCCTCTGCAGAGGAGATCCCTGAACTTGAGAGGATGGCATCTATATTGTTTGAAAAATGTGCTTCCATCAGAATTTTTGGTTTTATATTCTGCATTTGTGAAGAAATATTTAAGGTAGCATTCTTAGAATATTACAAATTTTAATCTTTGCTGTTTCAACAAGGTGAATACTATCATTCCAAAGGACGTAATAACACATGTATTGCCTTTCATGAGAGTTATTTTACAATATTAAGTTTATAAGTCATACTAAAGGTATAGTTTGGCAAGACACCATCTTATCAAGCTTTTAGAGATTGGGGGATGTCCAACGTGGCCACTCGGTAATGCATTTATTCCAAAACAACATTATCCTTAAATGCATCTTCCTGTAACAAAGAAATAGGCAATTAATATCGCACCTAGATTGTCCTGTGTGTTTTCTGGGAGGTTAATTGAATTAAGAAATACATTTGGAAAAATGTATAAAAGCAGCATTTACATCTGTGTAATGTTTAAAGAGTAGACTTGTGGATTTAGATAAGCCCAGCTTTTATTTTTGCTTCCAAAATACACTCTCTCTTTCTCAGAGGATTATACATTCCTCTGTAGGCTATTTTTAAATCTAATGTGGGAAAATTACAGAATTAGCTTCTTACATTTGTTGGAAGAATTAAATGAGATAATTTATATGATGTACACAGTGTTTCTCATATAGTGGAGCATTCAGAAATTCATGTTATTGATGATGCAAAAATCCTCTGTATCAAACATTCCCTTTGTTACTAACATATTGTGAATTGTCTCAAAATAATGAATATTATTATTCCAAAGCATAAGCTAATCAGGTAAATCAGGTAGGAGATAGTGAACTCTTTTCCAAAGACGATCCCGTTGGTTTTAGAGACGTTTAGGAATCATTCCTGTTGACGTGAGAGTACTGATGCTAGAGAAATTTTGAGACAGGTGAAATCATTGCAAATAGTGTTTTCTTGGTGTCCTGGATTCCAACACATAATCATAAAGATGCAATGTGTGTATTTATTGCATAGTAGCCGAATCTCCTACGCAGGAAGCTTTTCTAAAAATTACTTTCATTTTTAAATGTTGATGTTCTTTGTTTGTGGTCAGTGAACGGAGGGTGGATAGATGGCGCTGTCAACAACTTGAAGCTCAGTCTTTTTTTTTTTTTCATAAACATCTAAGGTGTTCATGTACCAAAAAAGAATATGTCCAAATTTCATTTCCCAACTTAATTAATTTTTAATTTTTAAAAATGGAGCTTGATTAACTTTTAGTAAATTGTCACACGTTACTTAATATTTGGGTTGATTGAAGGATCACGAGTTAGTTGAACGTAACTATTACAGAATTTCACCGGATGTGATTGTTACAACATACATGAATGTTTGCTTATGTGTGCATACAGACAAAAGAGGTTTGTCAAATTCGAGATAACTGCTGTTTCTATAAAATTGAAACACAGTGATTTAAGAACATCTCTTTCACTTCTAAAGGTCAAGTTTCAACCTACATATTTTATTCATTGTTTAAAAATTTCCAGAAGTCTACAAAAAGTCATAAATCCGAAAGAGCATTAGAGCACAGAGGCAGTCTGGAAGCAGGGTCCCTCTGCGGCTTTTATTTCTGTAGTGGCTCTGCCTTGCCGCTCGGAGTTGTGGACTCTTCGTATGCCATTTCCTAAACTGCTTCAAGCAGATCATCAGGACTATGGTCTCTTTTCCTTGTGCTACACTGCTATAGACTCTGGGTTTTCATATAATAGGTGCTGAAGTCCCTGGAATTGAATATTCACAGGGGGTTCAGATCAGGCACACAGCCTGGCTGGTACTTGATTTTTAGTGCACAATGACTCATCCTTTATAGTGTCTCAAAACCAGTGAGAATCCTGTGCCTACACACTAGCTATCAGGATTTGTAACACACCTTCTGTGCAAATATTGCCAGGGAAGAACAAGTTGAGGAGGAAGGAACGAGGGAGAACCTGAGAATCACAGTCATTTAATATGAAATGACACAGTGCCCTTGATTCTTGGCAGACTCAGAAACTCTATATTGTATTTAAGTGTTTATTTTGAAAGGAAGATGGAAGGGCAGAGTGGAAGAGAGACAGACAAATTTCAATCTGCTGACTCACTCCCTCAAATGGCTACACCAGCCACGACTGAGCTAGGCAAAAGCCGGGATCTAGGAATTAAATCTTGATCCCCCAAATAGGTTGTAGGATCCCAGATACTTGGGCCTGCATCTATTGTCTTCCAGTCCCATTAGCAAGGAGCTGAACAGGCAGCAGATCAGTGGAAACTTGAACTTGTGCCAGTGTATGACATGGCAGTGTCACAAGCAGGTGTACCACACTGCTGGCCACATACACCAAATTACAGCTACCCGTGATATGACACAAGGGGCTGTGAGTTCATAGAATATAGACAACATCCCCCAAATCTGCTCTAAATCAATGTATGTGCTGAGAGGAGGAGACAGGGCCAGTTAGGTTCAGGATTTACAAGAGTTCATGTAACAAGTGAGAACATAAACAAATCTGATTTTCCTTTTTTCCAAGATTTTAAATTCATGATATCTGAAACTAGATTGATCAGTTTACATTTATATTTTTATCTTTTGATTTTATGGGTGAGCACTTATTCTCATTTCTTTCATTTTTGTTCTAATTTTGTTCCAGCTCCAATTAACCCCCTGCCCCAAATTCTCTAAAAGGCAGAGGTGGTTCCCCAAGTGAGAACAGGGAATTGCCCTAATTTAGCCATAGTACTTCAATGAGAAGCATCACTCTCCTATTCAAATGTCATGATACATTAGCTAACCAGGGTTTTCAATGAGTTTTCATGGAGAAAAAGTTTGTTGACATATAGAAAAATGTTCTAGTATTCTATTGCTCAAAATACATATACCTCGTCATGAACACTAATTTAATTATGCATCTTGTGTGATTCAGATTTATTGATAGTTATTCTTACAGCACAGTAAAAGAAAAATTGTAGGAATGACTAGGACATTAGAGTTTTAAAAACTAAAGACAAAGAAATTCAACTTTGTGAATTTAAAATGGGCCTCAACCTTAACTATTGCATCCTTGTTTCTGAGAATAATATGATTAGACTATATTAATATGCATGCAAAATTTTACTGCACATGGAAGTTTACATTGCATTTACCATTTTTTTTCCCTCCTTAGGCCTTGAGGTCCACATAATTAAAGTCCTGTAAAATTCCTTCTAACTCTATGCTTAAAACAAAACTTGTGCTTAGTTGGGCTGGTTAGCTTCATAGAGAAAAGGTGCACTGTTTCATACATAGAACTCAACGTTTACCAGCATGTCTAGAATGTTCAGCTTGACACTTAGCTGTCATGCATTTCCACTATTCTTCCCTGGTTTGTAAACGCTCTACTGTATTTCACCTGCTGTTATTCTAGCTGCTCATGATTTTATTCAACAGGAAAATGTTTTCCTGGTACTGTAAGTAATGGTGGGTCTTACTATAGTAAACTTATTATTAAATTGCTGAGAAAATCGCAGCACTGTCTTAAAAAATGATCCTTATCATAAATTATAATGATAGAACATAAATCGCATAGCAGTCCCAGAGCTCTTCATAGGAATATTCCAGTTAGTTAAGGTGGGGGAGCCACATGGTCCTCTCTCAGACAAATGTGAGCATGCTAAATACCGATTTGCATTTCCTAAGTTCACACTGAGTACTAGATAATAATAAACATCATCTTCTTAATTATCATAACAAAATTCCTACACAGTATTTTTATTATATTCCATTTCAGTACAGGAAACCTTACAGCTTAGCAATATCTATGGAAAGGTAATGAATGTCAGAGTTGAGACCCAAACACAGGCAGGGTTGTCTTCTGAATATTTCTTTAAATATATCCTTACATATGAGTTTTCCAACATGAGACACCCTTGTGTCTCTGGGAAATACTTATAAATCTGTGTCTGTTGCAACCCAGACACTTTGAAATTAGAGGCAACAGTGTGTTTGATCTGTTTTAGATAAAAACTTGTATCATTTGCTTTGGTAAATCCTAATTAGTAGTATCCTCTAATTACTTCCAACCTCTAGAGAACACATTTAAAACTTTGTTAGATTTGGAGTTGTATCTTGTCACTGTCAAAATACAGTTTACAAATTATCTTTGTGTATAAAATATTTATTTCACTTACAGCTTATTTATCTCTTAAACTAGACTCAGATGAAACCATTCCGACTTTCACATTTAAAAAAGAAATTTGTAATATGTTCTTTGTGAGATGCCAAGTCCATTCAGCTGGAAATTAAACTTTCTCTGTTTTGAGATATGGAAAGAATTATTTTTTTCATGCATATGACTTGAAATTTATGACTCATATCTTTCACTGGTTATCTAGCTTTAAGTATTCTTTGCAGTATCTGACAACGGAAGTTAGAAACCCAAGAAGAAATACCAACTCTTGAGCAATGTTCCTACATTCCTTACTTTTTTTTCGGACTTAAGTCCTTAATGTCTTATCCAAGAGAGGCAATTAGTGGGAATTCCTTCTTCCCAGTGTCCCATCCTTCCCTAGAAATCAGTTCTCCACAACTGCTGATTTTGCTTTGCTGGTTTAATTATTTCATTCCCTTGGATGATTCATCCAGTATTTTTGAAGGTCCACCTTTCCTCTGGTGAATTACGCTGACCCATTCCTTCCCTTTCCTATGGAATCCAATAGTAATGCAAACAAAATAAGCTTTCAAAAGAAAATAGGACTGTGACACACTCCGGCTTCAAGTGAGATTTCTGTCCACTCAGTGTCTGTTGACCAGCAGCTAAGAAATCTGTTCAGTTTCCACCACCCTCATCCTTGTTTCTTTCTGCTTACAAAGTATGCTTTAGTCAAACCACCTGAGTTGCTCTTTTTCAGACTCATCTGCCTTGTTTTATCTGCTGTAACCTATCTTTCTCCTTAAGTCTGAAATTTCTTTTTTGCGAAAAATGCAACTACTAACTCTTTTTTGGGAGGGTGCAAGACTCATTCCCTTGACTTCTGAATTCAGGTTGGATGTTTTTCCTAAAAAGATACCATAATCCGTGCAGCAGAAGAGTATCCATCAAGCCTTGACCCAACTGGTGGATTAGTCTGTCTCGATTTCCATTTTCTCTAGTAGGTTTTGTTCTTGGAAGCAGAAATAAGCATAAACTTATCATTATATAGATAGCATCTCATAAAAGGCCAATGTGCTGTATAGAAGATATTCTATAGATGCATGCAGGATTAGCCATAAATAAGTTAAATGTACTCCTTAAGAGACAAGAACACTTGGGTTCATTTTTATCATTATCTATAAAAATTTACCCATTAGTTCATGATGTTTTCCCATTTGGTATGCTTCTATATTTCTGAAATCCAGCTTGTATCTTTAAGCCTCTGGAAAATGTATATGACACTGGTTAAAGCATAAACATTGCATTCTCAGATAAATTACCTCAGATTGTTACAATTTATTAAAAACTCAGAACATATGACTAAAGGTAAATGTTGAAATAGAAATGTCACACTGTATTTATCAATTTAAGATGTTCTATCAGCATCTACTCTATCTTGGTCACTCATTTTGATTAGGTTTTCCACAGAACTTTTATCTGTTGTGAGGATAATAGAAGATACAGAATCCATACATGCAGCTTTAAATGCTGGCCCTCTGTTGCTGGGTCCATGCTGTTTCCTGGCTGACATGCAGTATCAGCTAGGACAGACACACCATGCAAACAAGGACTGAAGATGGAGCAAAAGCAGCATCACTGGCATCCCGAACACAGGAGAAAACAAGGAAAAGTGAGAATGCTGTGCCTCAAATGCACTTAGTACAAGAAAGTGGAAGCATAGAATAGGAGAAATTAAAAAGCGGGAAAAAACTAAGGAAAAAAAATTATGTGGATGAAGGTAAATCATTGATTCAAAAATGCCCGCAGGATGTTTGTAATTTATTGGTGTGTTTTGTGATGAAAGTGCTAAATTCTTATAGAACTTTGTATATAGGAACAGAGAAGATCTGAAACTGAGATGGAGTGTAGGCGGGGAGAGTCTTCAATGTCGTTCATGATCTGAAGCCAACCAACTTCACGTTCATCTTAGGAGTAAGAGAAAATCCAGAAAGCTTACTATGTGCCTAATAGGAAAAAGGTGGCATATTTTAGAAAAATTTAGACAAATTAACATGATAAAAGAACAAAGAATTTAAAAGAGAAAATTACTGAATAACTAGGTTATAACTGCATATTGATATAGATCATTATTATTTATCTATATTGAACCTGTGCACTGACCTGCTAGAGTTATCTTGTTCATTTTTTTCCAGTTCACTGTAGTAAGTGTTGCTCAGTATGTCATCTGACAATAAAATTGGGAAAATGTCTTAGAACACATGCAGTTGAGGTTTCTTCAGAAATGAAACTCCATAAATCCCAAGCTTTCTGTGATATTCAAAGCTGGCAGGATGAATGTGGATCAAAAGCAACAGGGAGCAAAGTGTAGAGACACACACGCATACACAAACCACGCACACACAGATGGCTGCTCGCTCCCCTCTTCCCAGTGACTTCCAGCAAAAACGTCCACATCTGTCACGTTCCTATTGATGGCAGGAAAGCAGATACAGAAAAGTTGCATACTTTTTAAGATTATAACAAGCTCATTTAATTTTAACTTAAATCAATATTTAGCTTTCTGTTTGTTTGTTTTTTAAGTGAACAGAAGTCTAGAATTCCATGCCCTTGTCTGCTTCATAGAAGCACATTGTGCCCATCTGGGTTTTTCATATTTTTATTTTCAAATATATTCTAAATGTCAAATAAGAACATTTTAGTAGACTTCAAATATGTGTATTTAACACATATATAAATATATATATTTACATTCCACAGATAATCTCCCCTTTTAAAATGTGATATCCAAAGCAACAAGCGGTTTTGCAGGTGCCTCAATCCTCCTAGGCCTTCCAGGAAAATGAAGCTTAACTGAGGAATACAGATCGGAAGCTCAAGGGGTGACTTACCTCTGAGGACTGGCATTGGCTGGCACTGAAGGTCTCGCGACTTGTGCTCTGCCTCTGGGTGTGTTACCCAACAACCGAACTGAGGGTATACCCCAACAAAGCGACCCTCAGTGCATGATAGAACTTCATTGGACTTTGCGTATGGCCTGGGTTTTATTGAATGGTTGAATTTCATAGACAAGGGCCAGACATTTCTTCAAAGCACCTGCTCTGATGCTGTGATCCGTTTCCTTGTGAAACTGCCCTTGTAAGACTAGACTCAAACCACCTTGAGAAGTCACGCTGCCTTTCCAGCAATTAAGAGGTTTAAAACAAGTTCCTTTGTGTTTCACGCCTTTGAAATGATGCCGTTTGTTCTCAACTGGCTCTTAGTTTGCTCTGTCAAATTCTTGACAGGTTAGAGACAGACATTAATTTTAGGCAGGTGTGTTGGCAGCTTTCTTGATGTGCCCAAGCTGAGTTCTTTAAAGCCAGTGGAGCACGGTGGGAGGCGGCCAGCTCCCAGCCCACGCCACAAGGGTGATGGGGCAGCCACCTCGGGCGGCCATCTCGGGCGGCCACCTCAGGTGGTCACCTCGGGCGTTCACATCTGGCGGTCACCTCGGGTGGTCACCTCAGGCCCAGGCCGTCACCTCGGGCGGTCACCTCAGGCGTTCACATCTGGGGGTCACCTCGGGTGGTCACCTCAGGCCGTCACCTCAGGCCCAGGCCGTCACCTCAGGTGGTCACCTCAGGCGTTCACATCTGGCGGTCACCTCGGGCGGTCACCTCGGGCGGGCCCTGACGCTGTTCTCTGCTGTCTCCTTGCTGCAGTGTTGATCCTCCTCATCGTCACCATGAGGAGACGGAAGAAAGAGCCCCTCATCTTCGACGAGGAGAGAGACATCCGCGAAAACATCGTGAGGTACGACGACGAGGGCGGCGGCGAGGAGGACACGGAGGCCTTCGATATGGCGGCCCTGAGGAACCTCAACGCCATGAGGGACACCAAGACGCGCAGGGACGTGACGCCCGAGATCCAGTTCCTGAGCCGGCCCGCGTTCAAGGGCATCCCCGACAACGTCATTTTCAGGGAGTTTATCTGGGAGCGGCTGAAGGAGGCCGACGTGGACCCCGGCGCGCCCCCGTACGACTCCCTGCAGACCTATGCCTTCGAGGGCAACGGCTCGGTGGCCGAGTCGCTCAGCAGCCTGGAGTCCGTGAGCTCCAACTCGGACCAGAACTACGACTACCTCAGTGACTGGGGCCCGCGCTTCAAGCGCCTGGCCGACATGTACGGCACCGGGCACGAAGGCCTGTACTCATAGCCTCGGAGCCTCGGCGGGAGACGCCGGAGGTCGCGGCCGCGACAGGTGCCACTGCAGGCGGACAGAGCCCCACTTGCAGGAGGGAAAAGACGCGTGTACATATGATTCCATTTTTAACTGCTTAGGGCTCTACCTGGGTGACGACGATCTTCATTCGACTTTATCCAAGGGACTGACCACAGACTGAGCGTTCGGAGGTTATTTGTTTGCTTTTTAATGCTGAAAGGTTTTTGATTAGATAGCTAGATAGCATCTCGTCTATACCTGTCTGAAGAGTAGGGCCCGTGCTGTGAGCCAGCCCAGGAGTCCTGTCTGTGCGTTCCTTCCATCTGCTGTCAGGAAGAGGAATAAAACCACATGTGCCACTCCAAAAAAAAGCCCTGGGATTTCTTGCGCATCAAAAATTGGGACAACGTTCCTTTACAGGGGCGCTTAGGGCTTGCTGGGTTATAGAATCCAGCAGAATTTTATTTTGCTTTTGATTAGCAAAAATGTTTTATTTTGCAATGTAAAAATGCTCTGGAGTTTCCCACCATTGAGAACCCTACAACAAAAATCAAGAAAATTCGGTGTAAGGTAATTCAAATCATTGCTTACCTAATATAAAATCATCCAAATTAAGAAAAGTATATAATCTTTAAAGTTTACAATAGCTTTGGGACGGCTTGTGTAGGTATAATTTTTAAAAAGCGGTTGCTATCTATTCGTTGGCTTTTGTTATCTCTTCTGATTTGTACAGGAGATTATATTTTTCTTGTTTGATTTGACACGTGGTGTTATATTTATTTTGTTGCTCCGATCTGCACCAAAGCGAGGTCTGTCTTGATGCCTCGTAGTGTTACACTCATCAGAACATGATGATTTTTCTCCGGCCAGAGATACACGAAGGAAATGAGGCATGGAAGTGCAGATATAATAGTAAAGCAACTGAGCGCTGCTGCAGGTCACATCTCAACGAGGAGCACAGCCACTCAGACATAGAAATTGTTCTTCTGAGCCATTAAAATGTACAAACTGTTAGAATAAAATATTTGTATTTTAGAAAGACTTCCGAGAATTGAGATTTTCTTTGTTGCAAGATTTATTTTTCAAGGTTAAGAGTTCTATATGCTCCAAAGACTTGCCAAGATCTGTTTTCCAATCTCTTTTGCTGTAAACAAACTGAATAAAGGACTGTCTTTCTTTTATATCCTCACTAACATCACGTTACAAATTTCAAAATCGGTCTTTAAACTCCAATGCAAATGGAATTAACCAAGTGGTGTCAAAGTTCCATAGTAGTTAGAGGTGCCATCGTGAAGATTGCAGTTCCGAGGAACATGTGTGTTTAAGTCTGAAATGAGCTTCTTACCAGAAGACTTTACTGACCAAGGTCATGTTTCCATCTGTCTTTCCCTAGTCTCATACTAGTCTGGTTTGCATTTACTCAAGTGTGATTGGAGTTTTTCCTTCCTCTGTCCTTTCTTGTATTTCATGCCGGGCTCCTCACAGATCTACGAGTAGTGAATCCTGGGTGGGAAAGTGTGCTGAAGTGCTTCCTCTGAGCGGCACACTCTGAAACCAGCATTCCTGTATGGGGTTCACTTGAAGACAAACGCTGTCGGGAGCTGTAGCCTTGCATCCCACCATTAGAAAAGAACAATGTGAAAGTGGCCTTCAGCTTTATGAAACAAATAATTCACTCAACCTAAAGATCTGAAAACTGTCTTTTAATTGTATTTACAGGCATTGTCCCCATGACTAGACAGCTGCACTTCTTGCTGACTTCATTTGAATATGTATGAAATGACAATTTTATATCTAAGTAAAAGATACCGATCGTGACTTTTAGTCACAGATGCAAGTTTTTTTGAATGAAAACGTAATTTACTCACGCAGTTGAGTAAGAGTGGTGCTGGAATTATACTGCTGCTGAATCAGCAAGGTGCGGAGAAAAACATCTGTAATAATTCCCTTGGTGTGTACAAGAAGATGAAATAGTTTAGCAAATGTGGATTATGCTTTTGAAAGTGCTGATTGTTGCACATACCATTAAAGGAAGGCTTGTGTCTATTTTAGAAAAGGGATGCCGTTTTGCTAACCTTGCTTTCTCTTCCTTTAAATACGTGTATTTTCCTTAAACCACTTTCAGTTGCTTTCACATTTACCAGTAATAGATCGGAAAAAGAAAGGCACAAATGTAAAAATGATGTGAAAGTCTTACACATACCAAATTGATATTGTGCTGAAGATTCTCCCTGTGCAATGTTAACATTGTTTGTTTTAATTGCTAGAGATGGATAGAAGAATTTCCATAATCTAGAAAGTCTGTTGCCAAGTCTTCAGATATCATTATGTAAATATGCATTATCTAATAGCTTCTATCCAGTATTTGGTTGGAGCCAGTTTGAACCAGCTCCTAGAAATTGAATGTGCAGTCATTTCCCAGCCCCATGTATGTGACATTGTTTTGGTTGGCTGACATCAGTTATGGTGGAAATATGGAAGACAATATGGTAATTGGTAAACATTGTGTTTTATATTACATCATTTTTAAACATTGCCAGTGGCCTACTGCTTAAACTACTTTGTGGGGGAAAAAAAAAAAACTCTTGATTGTGTGTGTATATTAGGAATGATTGAGTGTCAAATCATGGCAAGAAAGGAATTTTTATATGATCCTACCACTAAATTTGAGTATATATGTTAGCTATTTCATGTTGCTAAATTTTTAGAATTATAAGGTGAAAATCCAGATTTTATGGAATGTGGTGGCTTAGCGGTTCCAAATGCAGAGTAGTTCAGAAAATCAATACATTACATATTTTTCATTTATCTACATGGAGGCAACAAAACAAATTCAATGTTTAGAATAACATTGCAAAACCCACCCATTTTGAACAATTTTGCTGTTTTTCAGATTTTTTTTCATGTTAAGACAACATTAATTTTGAAAATTTCATATCATTCATAAGTAGAATCCTGACATAACAATTTGATCTTTCAAAAACATATTTGCATTTCAAGCGGTACCACACACGTCAAAGTCATATCTTCAGGCACATACTCTGAGGTTTATTCTAGCAGTCTGTTAAATCGGCATATAAATAAAGAGAACAAATCTGGTCCAGAAAGGATATTTTCAGGGATGAAGGCTCATTGATCACTCTTATCATGCAAATCAGTCTCCCTGTTATTACAAGGTCAACTGGAGACCCTAGTCCAGGAAGACACTATTCTCATTATTCTCAGGTAAATGGTGTCATTGTACAATGGTTATATTTAAATAAATATAAAGAAATGTGTATATCCATATAACAAAATTCAAAAGCAAATAGGTTGTAATAATTATATTCAGACATACAATCTAAAGGAGCCTAAAATAAGGCATTATGTTTAATATAATTTAAGTATTAGTTATAAATGCCAATATTCCAGTTTTTAAATTTTTTTATTTTGACATCTACTGGCTTCAAAGCTTTTTTAATTGTCCAAAATTATAACTCTTAAATATTTATTATTGTATATGTAAATAAATTTAGTTAACACTTCAGCTAACTCTTTTCACTATTTCTAGTCATGGAAGGCCAAACAGGTGGAAATTTCAATATGGGAAGTCATCTATAAGAATGTTTACTTTCTGATGATCTATGTTTGTGTCAAATTAAATATGCAGTTATTTACTATTCAATAATGATGTGTGTATATATATATATATATATGATGTGTATGAAAGTCTGATAAGGAAAGCTAATGCAAACTTGCTAGCTGATTTATAAAATAAATAGGAAAAACGTAATAACATTTGTATTTTCAATGTAATTGAAACTGTTCAGAGGAATGATATAAACCCTTGATAGATATGAAAGTTATTTAAATATGTGGTTTAAATATGTGGTTTGCCAGGTATTGCAAAGCACACTTTCTGGATAATTTTTCAACCAAAAAAAAAAAGAGATGCAATCAGTGTTTGACTTTACTTAATCAATTTTTGATAGAGAAGACTTGACTCCATGGGAAGACAGAGTGGGGAGGTCCGAGTCTCCTGCAGGGGGTTCTGCCAGCTAGGCTTCCTGCCACTTGAGCAGCGGGCAGAGTCCCTTCTGAGCGCCTGGCTGGGGCAGAGGACGCTGTGGGTGGGGGCTGTGCTGAAAGGCTCCTCATTGAAGTTTACAGTGTGTTGTCTCAACAGCTTGGAGTGCCTCCAGCTAAATGGAGAGCCAAGGAAGTAAGTATTGCACTGGCCTTTAGAAGAACTGTCTGCACCCAGTTTCATCAGGACTGGCAGTTCAGGCCAAATGTTCCAACTAAATCCAGCATTTATACATATATATGAAAACAAAAGAGTATGACATTGACAAGAGCTCTGTGAGAAGGAGAAACTGTGAATGGGAATGCTAGAAGTCATTAAGGTCTCATCTTGCTGAGAGGAGGAATCACCCTCTCCCAGCATAGGCATCACTGGAGAACCAGCTGCAATTTCAGTGTCTTTCAAGCTCTGGACCATTGGATGAGTAGATCATTTCAATACTTTAAGGGTGCATGGCCCTAGAAGAACAATCAGGAAAGAAAAATTGTTAAGAGAGCTAAAAAGAGACACAAGGCAACATAGCCAGTTGTTTCAAGAATCAGATTTCCATTTTACTTCTGTTTTTCATTGTTACCTTTGCTTCTATTGGCTCAAACAGTGTGTGCACGTGTGTGTGTGTGCGCGTGTGTGTGCACATGTGTGTGTGATTAGGTGACATTTAGAGAAGTATTTAAGAAACAACCTTAAAAGTGAATGTAATTTTATTTGATATATGCCAGTATGTTTTTGTTGTTTGTCTAGTGACTCTGAAGAATAGAGAATCTAATAATAAAAGGAGATATATTTTTATTTGACTCATTATTCCAATTCATATTAAGAGCATTTTCCTGAACTTTGTCATTACAATGTGCTATTTTTATTGGGACGATGCAATATTATTGTTAACACAGGAAATATAGTATAATTTTGGCTCCCTGGATACTGGTGTGTA